AACAGAAGAGCCCTAACTTATCATTGTCTAGTCTCTTATTATTTTTTTCAACGACTGAGGAAAATTTTTCACACCGTGGGAAGATTGGAAGATGTGGAAGGCATGCTTCCAACGTTATCAAGAACTTGATTCACAGAAAATAGAGAATTGGCTAATGTTTTGCAAAAAGCTACGGAAGCAGCAAATTATGCAAGCATTTTCAAGGAACAGCGAAGAAACAACCACGGGAAATCATGGCGTCATTACCGGCCTAATATGTCTGCAAAACCTGTAATAGATGTATATGAACGGATGCTGCTTTCACACTGGGAATGTGTTATAACGTGGGCGTCAGGTATTGTCAAGGTTGTTTTTTACTTCATTTTTTTTTCTTTGAAAGGACCTCATACCAGCTTAATCCGCCTTTTGTTAGGCAAATGCCCATTGAGTTGTTCCTGGTAAAAGCAGGACTTGAAAAGCAGCCGTTTTTCATACTCGTAGTTACATGTACATCAGCTACTGGCAAAGTGCATACAACCCCAACAGTCATGGCTGATTTACCCTCGAACAATGGAACTGTTTGAAAGGAATTATAACTGACGATGCCCCCAAGAGTAACAAAAGAAAGAAAATTAGATTATTGGCGTATACGTGCATGGACACTACAAATGAAGTATTGACGGCTAAAGCATTTCCCCCGTGTGGTTGGCGTCAATGTGTCGCGTTTGTGCTTTGTAAATTTATTGCTGTGGTTACTGTGTCACAATTGTCGTTGTTGTCCTAGCTGTGGTTGTGCTTGATGTGATTGTGATTACTATTAGTCATGCCAGTATTCTCGTTTTCACTTCTGAAACCATTGCTGTTGTAGTTACTGTGAATGGTCTTCTTGTCATGTCATTGCCGTTATCCGCAGGAAATAAGTGTGTGTCCATTTCAGAGAGAATATTCATGTTAGCGTGCGCACATTATGTGGCTCAGTTTCAAACAGTGATAGCATTGTCTGATACGACTTGTGGCGTCATCAGAATTGGATCAAAGTAGAGGCAGCTGATAAATAAGCCAAGGACAAGACGTGGAGTCATTTACTCAACAGCTTCACATAAGGGATTAGCTTACATCCTCTAAGAGCTTCCTGATACAGTCCAAGTTCGCACAGGTTAATGGTTACTTCGCTCCTGCTTCGGTTAAGACCCCCCATCTCTCTTGTCAAATTCCAGATCGATGTTCCGGCTTCAAAGGTCACACAAAACCAAATATGGCTTTATACGGCCTAAGGAGCCATTACACCGGATAACTGTGACATCTTTAGTCTCACGGACACCATGGCTGAACTGCAATTCGAATTACGATTCGATACCTGTGTAACTATCTTTCTTCCTGTCTTGCAGGTTTCTTTCAATTTTAGGTTTCGACAAAATGAGCAAACAAAACAAAACAAAAACTGACCATTGTGTCCCAAACCGAGTGAATGATGACACAGGTTTCCAATGTTTACGACAACAAGAGGTTAGTTGGTTAAGAATATAATCTACCTCGTGTAAGGCTTCACTGTCATACACTGAATCGGTAAGAAAAATATCCATCTACATGAGTACACCCAAGAATTTTATCGCAGACAAACACTTCACAGACAGATTTTAATGTGCAGAAATGTGTCAAAACGTCCAAGATGTTACATGTCAAATTAAGGCTCAGCAAGACAAAATGCCTGTGATATCACCTATACCTGTTGAGAGAAGGCCAAGATCCCAACATTTTAAAATCGAACAATTGACAAAAATTGATCTATTTAGCACTTTCCACCTATCTGACACCTTGTGTTACCGTCGATTTTCTCTTTTTCCTCTGCTTTTAGACTGTCAAGTTCCCAATGTCAATATTTGTGCACAAAATGACGCGATCAATGATGGTGGATTCACTGCCTGTGGTATAGCGTGTCAGCTGTCGTATGGAGACATCTGGGGTGTCGATTTCACCAGAACATGGAGAGGGTACGTCAACAGAGACTGTATTGACACTGGTGGAATCAATGTCGAAGAGTTTGCGTATGACAGTCACAGAGACGATTTGTTTCTCTCATGTTTTTACTGTTTCTCACTCCATTATTCTGAAGGTTTGTACCCTCTTGAGCTGGCTTCGAACGGCAAGTCACACGAATCACTGATGTATATAGTGCACATTAAATAACGGGCAGGATGGAGGAAAAATGGTAGGCCCACCAAGGGGGAGGGGCGAGAGAGGGGTGGAAGAGGGGAAACACCAGTGTGAATTTATTGTTCTCGAAAGATTTAAGTTGGTTGAAACCATGTAAGCCTGCGTGTAAGGCAAGACCGTAAGCGTCATCTTTGTCCACCCACGGTAGTTACAGTCGCATAATCTTGAAAATGACAATATTTCATCATTGTTCCTTCATCTTGAAAAGAAACCTTTCTAAATTATCGGAAGATTTTCAGAGCGAACATAGGGTCAGGGAAGAGCCGCTTCAATTTGACCGGTGCAGATGAAGGATGGGGAGATGTGATGCACGCACATTATCAAACGACCTATCCTATCCTTGCTATATGAGCAGTCAGGTTGGGAGGTATAAACAGGATATTCACCGCAGTGAATGTGATGGCGAACTACTCTAGCACAATTTTTCAGGGAAGAGTGCATTAAAAACTGTGATAATGTTCACAAAGGATTTACGCAGCTTCCCTTGAGACACAACCCCGTGGATTAAGAATGTATCGCGTGCAAGAAAAACATGGTCTTGTTACCGTGTTATCTTCCATTTGTCTAATGCTGTAAAGTCAGTACTTTGCCTTAAAGGTGATTTAAGGTGGAACTCATCTCATTGCCTGGGAGAGGTAAAAGTCCGAGAACCTAACGACTTGTGAAGGGGGCCGACCAGGGTCGGTGTATTGACTCTCTGATTGATCGCAGTCACTGGGGGCCCGACTCTATTACCGAGCAATTGATCTCCGCGCACTTTCCGGAAAGAGGCAGGTGTGACACGATAAGGCACGCGCAAAGATACTGTCACGCCAGACCGGGCCAAACCTCAGTGACGCAGAAGCCCCATCAACTACTGGCTAGGATCCCTGGCAGCTGGTCCGCTGAACCGCTTACTTTACCTGAGATCATACAGCTATTTTACTGATGAAACTTCCGTTGCGTCGTTAGATCAAGGACTTGGTGTTGTTTCCGAGTCATCAAGTACATTTTGAGAGTATTTCAGCTGTTAAAAGTTGGGTGATACTCGTCGGGGTCACTCAAAAACCTGGTCTGTTCCAGTTGATGACGACCAAGATACAAATACCTACTGCATCCATGCTAGCACCAAACTTACGAAGTCAAGTACACGTACCAGTAAACGTTATCATTTTAATCACTGCGTACGGAGCAGACTGTTGACGAATATTAACCTTGCGTTGCAGTGACTTTATTATTCATACTAGAATTGTTATTTGACCTCACTGACACCAGCTGAAAAGGGGGTGTCTTTGAGAATTAAACGCTTCAGTTAAATAATGATTAGAAATAACGACATTGACAACATCAGTGACAATAATAACAATGACCACTGCGTCATAGAATCGACGACGAGAACATTAACACCATCAGGAAAACTTCCACTGATCCCTGTAAGTTCTGCAAAAATTCACACTAGAGAAAAAGCCGACAGTGCTTGTACCAAAAAGATCGCTGAAAACCTTCCCTCCTGAAATGTGCTCATTACGTCAACCGTCAAGGCACCGAGTCCAGATTCGTTATAGTCAGTTAATAGTTCCTTCCATTCTGGCATGATGACAGCGGTTAGATCAAGAGGAGCTATGGCCTTGAATACATGAGCGACAGGTGTGTAGTATTAAACGCATCTAATTCAAGAAGACCTTCACCAAAAGACCAAAGGAATTCTTCGGAAAGATACAGGCTTGCATTGCAATATCCGACACTCCATTAAGTTATCAATTACACATTGTGAATGATTGTATACTTTAATAACATTTTTAAGGACTTCCTTAATCCTTATTCCGTGCGGAAGCCGAATTTTATCACCGCAAGAATCACTCAGTGTAAGGAAGTTTTCCTTTCTTGTAAAATCAATGGGATATCAAGGTGCATATTTGCTGTGATAACAAAAACAGACTTTGGGCGTATATTGGCGGGTTTCTCATCCTCGTTATTAGCAATGGTTTGCACAGGCCTTTGGTCATAGTCATAATCTACCACTTTTTCGGAGAAGAGGAATGGAAGCTTCGTAATTTTATTAAGTTAGCCTGAATATCTCATAAGTGACATTTTCTGGGATCTAGCTATTTAGCCTGTAGCAACCACCATATTAACCGCATTTTCTTCCATGAGCACTAACAGAGCAGATAGCCTTTACATGTATACGGTTTGCCTATAGTTCACCGACCCGTTCATATTTATCTCGGTTCCGACAAGGCTAGGCAAGCCAACGCCTCCTTGCATTACCCAGATGTTAGATGTCTGGTCTTGCCATGTTGAGATGTTATTCCAACGTAGACAGATGCGGCTTGATGCGCACACAGTATGATATATTGGGTGAGCTTGTATAAGGCCTATGGACTAGACACCCAGCTCTGCATGTATCATCCTCAAAAATCGAGAAGTGAGACGGGTAAAGTCGATTTTCCTTCTTTGAGATGCGGCTGGTGAAACACTTTACATGAAACAAAACTGATCAAAAATTTGTCCAACATTTCGTCCAATGAAATATAAACAGATGAAAATACCTACGTCAAAAAGTCTGATAAATTCAACGCGTATTTATCAAGATAAAACTTGTCTACACTTCGTGATTTTACTGGTCACAGAAAGACAAGATTAAATTATTTCTGCAATTAAACTTTCAATTTGAAGAATAACGAATAGAGGAAATGCATTTTTATCGTCTGTTCGTACCGAGTCACCCCTCTGCCACCCTCCTCTCTATCGAGCAAATTGTCGTAGAACCCCACACGCAAATAATACCAGTCATGGTTCCCTTGTTGATGCGTCTATTCTAAACAGCCGTACGTGACTAGAGAACACGTTCTTCGAGCCTTTTCATCCTGCCCAATAACCACGCGTCATGCCGCAGACAGCCACTCGCCTCATCGGCTAGCCAATCAAACTGGGCTTAGTAGTCAGTGGTGATGGCGCCCTTTCGCTGGTTGTCTACCAGCAGCATGTACCATTTGCGCGCAAATGTTGCTATCTCAGGGGTAGGTAGTTAGGGGTGGCCTTGTAAACACTCCACAGCTGCAGATATAAAGCACTCAGCCAAGCGATTCCAACCAGTACATGTGCAGATATAGCTTGGAAGTTTCGTTAAGCTCGACGCTCTGCGGTTGTTTGCACCGCCGCTTCACGCTCTAGTGACTTTGTTTTGATGTGAGCAAATCATCAGACGAACCCCTTACCAAAATAATGAATGCTACTGCTGAACTTGGAAAGTACGTAAATTCACTAATGTTTCAGCTGTGCTCGGCGCGATCTTTTTGAAACCTGGTTCCGATTGATCGGTGCGAGATACGGATGATTATCTCAGTGTAAAACTGTCCACTACTACAGCGGTAATCTTTCAGAGTTCACGCCATATCTTGACTGAAAAAGCGACGACACTTCATCACGTTCCGTTCTGGTTTTTCTTCAGCTAACATTTCTCAGTCGGTAAGTAATAAGCGTACTCTTAACCCAGTATAATCCACTGGGAAATGAAATGGGATGTGTCTTGTAAGTGACATCCGAAGGTAGCCATAGTTTTCTTGAATGTTCGTTTTCATCGCAATGTACACATGTATAATGTATCCCTTCAGTTTTACAAAAACGTCTCAACATTCCACGACGGAAGCTTTTATTTGGCGAAAGGCTTGACGAATCAGTTAAAGGAAAAAAAGAGAGACTCGATTCTAAATTCAAATTGTGGGGCAGTTGCCGCAACTGTTGTCAAAACCCGACGATTTCGGTTGGTGCCAACGAGGTGGCTCAGCAGCGAGGTTTGCGTAGGTCATGCATGAGAAAACTTCAACCGTAGTTGGCACAGATAGGTACCACTGATAAAAACCCTTCACCCGCGTGCGCGGAGCTATGGTAGCAGGATATGTTTTCTTACCACAAATGACGTCCTTGAAAAGGCAAGTCACAAAATGCAGCAGTATGAAAATGGTCAGTGTGGATATATATGGTTTGAGCATAACATTCAATTCTTTTCATCCGTTTCGCCATTCCGAGTTTGCATTTCTGATCTATTTCTACCGTCCCAATGAAAATTCCTGATCTGCTCTCATCATGCATTTAAAATCCACCTTGCAGCCCCGATTTTGTTTTTATCAGCGGCCTTATTTTGCCCCAAACATTTTCCATCTCGTTGTATTCTGCTGCTCTGCGCGCCCCTTGACTACGCTACTGTCTCTGCCGCGTTCATAATGTCATCCAAAATGTGCCATTTTACCATGTGTGGCGATACCTTATTAAATGCATGTAGTTAGAGGCTTTACGTGTATTCATTAGGACGACATTTAATGGCCTTCTCATACGTGGAAAGGCTCATAAGTTGAATCGCTTTAAATACCACAGCGCCACACTTGCTAAAAACAAAGTAAATGGATATTGACACGGACAGTGTTCTCAATGTCATTCATAATGCCAAACAAGTCACAAAGAAAGTGTCTTTCGAAGCGACAGACTTGCAAACACTGATTGTAATTGGCCAATATTGGAACATAATTTTAAAGAAATGTTCTGGATTCTGTTTCTTGCATTGAGTGGAATAGTCTGTAAACTCGCTTATCCAAAGGAAGCGTCAACACGTTCCCGTATACAATTTGACGCTGTTTTAACAAAGGCAGCAATAAACTGAAAGTAAATCTGTTTTATGAGCATTGGTTCAAATTGGTTTCATCGAAGTAAGCGCCTTACTTAGGTTCAGCTTTTTCAAGTTACATCACAAAATTTCAAAGTTGTGACCAAGCGGTAGACCTGCTATCTATAAGTACAGCATGGGCAACAGACAAGGTGAATCGCCAAGCAAGGTGTTTACGATGGTTTGAATCATCTTTGATCTATTTAATTCTACATCTCTGCGCACACATGTTAACCTTGGACACCGCAACAAGTCGTGTCTAATATATATACGATGCACAATATGTACCAGTTTTACTAATAATTTGTGACATTTTCGGGGGTTGTGGAAATGACAGTACAATATATCTCTTACCAATGCTCAGAAAAAACCAGATAGAATCTTAAAAGCTAGACTAATGTTATAGATAAAAGTGAAACAATATTGATTTTTAAGTAAGAGCAAATAAGGGTCAGATTATCAATTCATAAATACAATGAAAATAAAACGTAAAATAAACCCAATTGGCCAGCAAAATCCAGCTTAAATAGAGAAATTGAATTTAAAAAAGACTGGTCAGGTCACTTGCTAAAATGAAACGTTGAAATGATGTTTAGCAGATTTTAAGTTTAATTTGATATTTCAGACAGTTTGTTTTCTTTAAAACAAACAGTCATCCATATTATAACTTGCAGCAGAGTCGTTGAAAAATAAAGCACCATTTGAAAGGATTTGAAGACTCGTTAGCCATTGATGCAGCGTGGATCATTAACGTTCAGCTATCAACAGTGTCTGCTATTGCGGAGACACAGGTACAAATTTTGGCGGGAAAATGCGCGTTTCAAACTGCATCGTATCTGTATTACTGGAAATTGTTATCCGCAGTTTTTTGTCATTTTACTTTACTTTTTTTTACCGGCTTTTAGTTGATGAGCCAAAATAGTGTCAGTTGCAAATGAGAACCATAGAATTGGCGAGGGATATATGTAGGCTTGAGTGAATGAGATGAATTAGTCCACTGTCTAACTGGTGTAAATTATTCGCTCTTTGTACGCTGTCGCCATAGGCATGCAGAGCTTCGATATGGCAGCTTAACGTAGCCGATTCAGTGATTCCTGCGTATGTTGCCTAGTAATTCTGCGCGTGCTGCGTCAGCTCTTACCACGCAATTGGACAATACATGAATTTAAAAAAAAAACCTGCGGCCAGTTTCACGAAACACTAAGACGCGTCTCATGAAGGGTAACTCATCCTAAGATGCGTCTCGTCCTGGGATCGATTTCACCAAACTTAGGACACGTTCAACGCACCCTAACTTCCCTAGCAACGCGGCTGAACCCGTCTTGATTTAAGATCAGTATTGGGGTCGTCTTATCTCTATGCAAACGTATACATTTTTGTAGAAAACAGCAAAATGGCGCTTATGCTTATTGCTGATCGCGAAGCTCGGTGGGCAGTAAGGCGAGTGAGAATATTTAGAGACAGGAGAAATCCACTAGATAGCTTGAATGATGAGGAAGTTTTCTGAAGACATAGGTTCACGCAAGAAGGGATATTTCGAGCTCTGGAAAAAGTAGAAAATGACTTGGAGACGGACACCAGGGTAAGTAGGCTGTATTGTTGATGTCCTCGACGTGGTGCGGTGTGGCCCCTAACGTGGTGCACTTTCATCTTTGGGTGAAAATAACGAAAATTGGCCGACTTGAATTTCTTAAAGTTTAATGCAGCATCATCTGAGGTTTGCCTGTTGCGCCACTTTAGTCAATTCAGCGGAACTGGAGCCCAATTTTTAGAGCCACAGATTTAAATTGGCGTATGTTTCAGAGAGTAGAAAATAATTGTTTCACACGATAAAAAAGGCCCACTTTGAAAAGCAGCGGTCAATCTGACTACATTTTCGTAAACTGTGAAAAGCTTTTTTTGGATCAGCTGGGTGAAGCTTAAAATTGAACAATCCGAGTAGATTTGTTTCAGTAGTCAGTATCATTGACAAGAAAAAACAATTATTTCAAA